GTTTTCCTAAGCCACAGCTAAACACAAGCAATTGCCCATCGTAAACACACCTCTGCATGTCCACACAGGGCTGGCTGGACTGGACTTATCAACTTTCTGCTTCTAGATAACAGCCAAAGTAGAAAGGAGGGAGGAAAAATAAGTCAGAGTGATGTTCTAAATCCATGTTCCTGAAAGCAGAGTTTCTCTACACAGCACTGATATTTTGGCCAAATCGTTCTCTGTGTGGGGGCTTCTCCTGAATGTCATAAGATTTTTTTTGCAGCATCCCTGGCAGGAAAAACCCATTGGATGCCAAGAGCACCTTAGTTTACCCCAGTTATGACAACTGAAAATGTCTCCAAACAATGGCAAATGCCCCCTTGACAGCAGAATTGTCCACACCTTAGACAATGGTTATAAAGCATAGTAATAATTTTTATTTTGTACATTATCTTACCTGTTTTGTTGCTGAGCTTGAAAAACATTTGCCAATTTTCAGATAATCCACATTTGAAAATTGAATAGGGACACTCAGCCTCGCACTGTTGGTAATTACGCTTATACCTATGGTACTCGGGTTTATGGACCTGCATCTAACAGTTCATTTGGGCAGTTAAAACAACATGAAATGAGTTTCTTAGAAGCATTCCATGATTACACATTCTCTGTCCGTAACTTGACTTGCCTACTCAAATACTTTAAACATCAGTTTTGTCTAGCATGGGTTTTTTTCTTTGGAAACCATGTTGGTTATGTGTGGATTGCCCATCTTTTTACAATATCTGCTCAGTGAGTGTACACAATAAGTCTCTGGAAGGAGACAAATGTGGGAGTGAAAATATTTCTTAACCACAGGAAGGGATTATTGCAAAGCCTTTTAGTGGTGGATACCCAGAGAACCTCACCCAGCAGGAAACAGAGAACCCTCTTTCTATGTTTGGAAAATGGCACTTTATAAACTTCTTCTTATGGATAAGACAGTCCAAGAGTTACATATTTCTTTAAAATATCCACATCTTGACAGAAATGTAGTCCTTTTAGTTTAACAGAAACCCACTGAATGAAGGCCTTGTGATTTAAAAAAAATGTACATGCATGATCAGTTGTTTTGTAGTGGGACAGACTTTGCTTGGTTTCTTTATAGAGTATTGTTTTATAGTTTTATTATATAGTATTAAGCATTTCATTGACAATCAAAGAATATCTCTGTAGATGTAAATTTTTGACAAAGCTCTAAGATTCTAGGTGGGCCCTGATATCAACCTCTAAAGGATCTTAGGAAAGAAAGAGGATGTGCCTTTTATTTCATAGAAATCTAAAAAAACAAGAATAGCTTATATGGCTTAAACTAAAAAGAAAAAATGGTTGTGTGGTCAGGAAGTTATTTTTATCATCTGAGCATAATTTTCAACTAAAGAAATAGAGCAATCAATAATGATAGGAAAGCCGCTGATACTCCAGGCTTGAAACAGCTGCCGTATGCCACTTCCTGTTGTCACTTCCGTTAGTGACTGAGCAATTCAATATGTCTTGAATGTCAACGTATTTTTATTACTCAGCTAATGTTGTCTTTGTTGGATTACATGTCACTTCAAGTGATCGATTACAGACTTGTTTGGAGGTTATTTTCAAATTTGTGAAAGGAAAAGATCTCAAGATACAAATGTTCTTGAACTTTCTGGGTAAAGTCTGTTTCTGTGGTGAGCCCTGCCCTGCATTTGCCATCTGGAGAGCAGGTCACATGATAGCATTCTTGATCCCAATCTGTCTCTGAAACCCGATGTGATACCCCAGGACTCAGCCCTTCCTTGGAAGAGGGGTCTCATGGATGTTGCACTAGTTATATGTGTCGTGACAAAAGAAGAGAGGTGACAGAAAGAATGCAGTGCAGATGGGGGTGGATGTTAGGAGAACCGTCACTCGAAGTTCTGGCTCATGGTAGGCCAGTAGAATTCAGTGGCTTCTGCCTGGAGCTGAGGAGACCTGTTTCCTGAGTTGTTCAGGAAACATCTTCATATGGGCCAAGTTTCTTAGGTTACACTTTATTAAAATGAACACAGTAGAGAATCACACATTCTTCTTCCAGAAAAATGCAGTGCAGTGGAAACGATTGTCCCTGCACAGGCGACAGAGAAGGGGATAGATGCAAACCGACTTTTTTCCTCCTGACTTCCTGGCATTTTATGTCATAATATTCCCTTTCTTCTGATGGTTTCCAGTTGGGCAAGATTGTGGAAAACTAAAACATGTCGGGCGTTTGTTGGTAGCACAAAAAGTAGACAGTCAAACCATGGCTCAGTTCTTGTCTTGCCACTCAGGCTGCTATAACAATAAACTGGGTGACTTAAAAAAGATGGAAATTCATTTCTTATACTTTTGGAGGCTGGAGAGTTCAAGATCCGGGCTCTGGGAGATTTGAGATCTGGGGGAGGTCCACTTTTTGGTTCTCAGAGAGTACCATCCTGCCATGTCCTCACAGGTGGAAGAGTGAGGACACTCTCTCAGATGGCTTTTACAAGGACACTAATCCCACTCTTGAGGGTGGGGCCCATGGCTTGATCCCCAAGACCCTACCTCCTAATGCCATCACCTTGGGGGTTAGGATTTCAATATATGAACTTATACAGGGTGGAGACAACAGGCCTCTATTCTTATTTTCCATTTGTGGTAAAAGTGATATAGGCTGTGAGGGGTAAAGACATGTCACCTACTCCTCTGCTTTGCAGAGAAATTGGAGTCATCCTTTTTCCAGTGCCTTAAAAACCAGCTGGATGATTCTGTCTGCAATAACGTGACATTGATCTCTTGGGGTTGGCCGCTTGGGTCACTCTCTCTCTCTCCCTCACCTCAGCCCACTCTCTGCCACTAAAGAACATGGCTGTGGGAATGAGTGGTAGAAGTGGCCAGCCAGCTTCTGATGCTACATTGAGGTTCAAATGCCAGGACTGTGATGTCATCGTTTTAAGGATACCACTGGTTTTTTGTGTTGCTTTTTTTTTTCTCCCAAATCACAGTAAGTCACACATCACAGTAATTTTTAGACACAGGTAATACAAAAGCCATACACCAAGTCATATACTAATAACTGAGGGTCATTCTAAGTTTAGTGGATCTTTCTTCAGTGATTAAGCTTGCTAGAAAATGCCACAATGTCTGCCACTTCTTGTGCTATTTAGAGAGAAAGATGGATTTTACAGGATGCACGAAGCAGGGCTAAACTTTGCTCTAGCATGTCCTAAGATTTTACACTAACATACCCACTAGTCAATTTCTCTGCGAATCTAAATCATATCAGGACATGTGGCATGGAATGGCATAGGCTTCGGGTCACAAGGAGCCTAGACTCTGACATGTGTCACACACAAGCTGTGCCCTGCAGTGAGTAAATCACCAGTCCCTTCAGCCCCAGCTTCCTGGTGTATCAGATAGGAAAAGCCGTGGCACGCCTCTTGGGTGGTGTAGGAGTCAGATGCCGCCATGTTTGTAGAATCCACAGCACCTACAAATAGAACCTTGCTTTATTACTTTTTTTCACTTGCATTATCACTAATACAATAATCCTGTAAAGTAAGTGTTGTGACTCTTATTTCAAAGAGAATCTCAGATTAAGAAACTTGCCCAAAGTTGCCTGGTTGAATTTCTGCTGTGTATATCCTCCAAAGGATGTGATGTATTGTCTTTAAGATATTCCCACACCTCTAATCCTAGCATTTGGAAGGCTGAAGATCCAGAGTTCAAGGCCAATAGGGAGACCCCATCTCATAAAAACAAAACAAAAAAGTATTCCAAGTCTCAAGTGGACCATTCCTTCCTGGGTGTGCCAAGCCCAAGCTCCACTCAGTGTAAGAGTCAGCACATTGTAGTACAGGATTCCAGAGTTCAAATCCCAGTGACCTCAGGCAAGCTCTGCTCCAAGGAACAGAAATGTATGTACAGTGACAAGTACACCCTTGGCACTCAGTCACTGTTCTTCCCTTACCCAGTATTTTGGCTCACACTGTAGAATCATATAGTGACTACCTGAAAATGGTACCTCTTCTCATCCGGAGGCCAGTCCAGCATCAGTTAACCCTAGAAGACCCATGTCTGTCTCCACCTGCCTATCAGGCTGTGCTCAAGGTCAAGCCACCTATCTTTATAGCAGTCATAGAACAAGGGGAAAGTGTCACATGTCCTCTCTTAATTTACCAATCCACAGCTAAAATCCTGGGCTTATTATTGTTATTAGCACAGTGCCAGGGCCATACTAAATCATTTAATAGATATTTGTGACCTAACCACATAATCCAGCATTGGTTCTGCAAAGGAGAAGTGATTTTTTTTTTTTTTTTGGCACCAGGTTCCTTTCTAACATGGTTCCATTCTAATAAAACCATTTCAAAGACTCCAAGGTATGAAATAGTAAAAATCTCTGTATTTCTTTTGAAAACCACACTAGCCACAGTTCCCACAGTCAATGTCACCAAGCCACATAGTTTTTCTTTTCCCAGTTGTTTGCTCATCTCTCTTCTCTTTGGCTATGTTTTAGCCCACCCCATCCTCATCCTTTTCTACTCACTATCTCCCATCAACACCAAAATGGCACTGTCCTTTTTATTTTTTTAACTACAACTGTTCTCTTTGAAACTTCGGGGTTCTTTTTAACCTTTTCCCTCCTAGAGTAAAGGTAGCCCACTGTCAAAGCTGATTCATTCACAGTTACAGCTTTCTGTCTATCTTCAAGTAGGCTCTGTTCATGTTCAAGTTTTGGTCATGATGTCAGGTGGACAAGTCTTTTCTTCCTTCTGGGTTACTGTGTCCTCATCTGGAGGTGGCTGGCCTGAATGATCTCTAAGTCTCTGTAGGTCAAAGGTCACACTTCACTGACTTGCTAGCTTCCTTAGTTGCCTTGGTGGGAAATGAGGAAGTTAAGAGAACCAGTCCAAACAAAGTGAAAGCAGTTACAAAATTCTTCTTGTTGTTTAATGCCTCAACAAGAAACATTTTCAACACTGTTTTCCCTCCCTTTTCCTCTGTAGACTGTAGACTGCTTTGGGATTACGTCTATCAGTTGCTCTCTGACAGCCGGTACGAAAACTTCATCCGATGGGAGGACAAAGAATCCAAAATATTCCGGATAGTGGACCCCAATGGACTGGCTCGGCTGTGGGGAAACCATAAGGTAAAAGGGCACCAGCCATTGCTCAGAAACTAGTGCCAAAATGGCTCCTCCTGCTTCCCAAGCCTGCCCATGATGTGTGGTGTATTCCTCACTGGACGAGTAGAGAGTTGTAAAGAGAGGAAGTCATTAAAGATGTCTCTTCCCATGTATCACCTCGGTCAGGTGCCCATGACTCAGTGTGTTCCAGTTTAACTGCCTTAGAAGTCTCCCTCGCTGCCACTTCCCTTGACCTGTTCCTGCCACCCCCACCATCACTGGGAACTGGGTAACAGGGAAGTACTTTGAGCTCCATGACTCACAGGGGACCTTTGGGAAGTGTCACTTCTGTCCTGCTCATTTGGAAACTCCCATGTTCACGGAAATCCACTTCTACGTGGAAAATACTTACATTCTCACTGTAAAGCTCCCCTTTTACAAGCAATGGGGCAAGAAATTTCACAGCCCCAAAGTTTTCTGAACTAGGAGACCAAAAGGGAATTTAAATCATAAAGCCTTTTATAATAAGAGAAACAGTTCAAATATGAAGATATAAAAAGTTGATCATTGTGATCCAGATCAGACAGTGGATAGATAGATCTGTAGCCAAGCCAGGAGGCATAGCCCAGCTCTGCAGGGGCCTCCAGCCTCCTAAAAGGTAGCCTAGGTCCCAAGCCCCTTGAGGAGGACCTGATGCAGGCCATGACCAAATATGGTAAGGCCCCAGTGACCACAGACACTTTGGTGTGTGAGTCACTGAGAAATGCTGTCTGTGACTCCCACATGGTGCGGTAGCCCCAGGGCTCAGAACCACTGTATTCCTGCTGCTACAACAAGAATTTAAACAACAGAAAAATCTCTCCCTTAACATGATAGGCCAGAGCCAAGTTTAAAAAAGGTCACTGCAACAAATAAAAGAAGTTTGGTGTGGGTCAGGAGGGAAAGGATGACCCCCGAGATAGGGGAACCTACAGGAAACTGCCTGAACTGAGAGCAGTCTTGGGAGAAGGAAATAGGGGCGTTTGCTGTGGAATGTGCTGTCATAGCCAGAGCTCCAAGCCTAATGACAGTGGGGGTGGGGCACAGTGGGAGGACACCTTGGCTACCGAGTATGTGAAAGCCAAGGGGTGGGACCCAGGGGTCTGGAAGGCAGCAGATTACCAGGTAGAGTTCCCAGACTGGCAGGGCAGCAGGAGAGCTTTTATTGTAATAGCTGCCCCAGGGCCTTTTCTGAGGGTCATTTCATTGTCTTTGTGCTTTTTTTTTTCTCTCTCTCTCTTCCTCCTTGGAACAAACAGAACAGAACAAACATGACCTATGAAAAAATGTCCAGAGCTCTGCGTCACTACTACAAACTAAACATTATCAGGAAGGAGCCAGGACAGAGGCTTTTGTTCAGGTAGCACTTCCTTCTTCTCCTTTCCTTCTTCCGGGAGGATGTTGTTTTCTTTACCTAAGGGGGAGGAGGGAGACAGTTAAGATCTCTACCTGCCTATCTGATACCTAAAGCCACTATTGCGAATATTAACTGATTTATGTGTGTGTGTGTCCTATAATAAAGCCAAACTAAATAAACACAATCTGACTCACCTTTCAAATAGCACAGTGACCAAATACTGTTACCTGCATTAAAGTCTGATGTAGTTAAAGGGAGCAGTCAGAATGATCGTTGTCAATGGCAAAGCAAGGAATTAAACCTTGACTTCCAGGTCACCAACTCCATAAGCTACTTTCTGAAGCAGGGTTTGTCAAACTGCTGATAATGACCCACAGTGAGTCATGAAATAGATTTAATGGGTTAGTCACAACTAATTAGTGTGTGTGTGTGTGTGTGTGTGTGTGTGTGATACTGAGGTTTGAACTCAGGGCCTTGAGCTTGCTAAGTGGGGCACGCTACCACTTGAGCCACCCCACCAGCCCTTTTTGCATTGGTTATTTTTGAGATAGGGCCTCTCTTTATGCCCAGGCCAGCCTGGCCTGCAATTCTCCTATTTGTGCTTCTTCATGTAGCTGGAGATGACAGGCGTACATCACCACGCCCAGCCATTGGTTGAGATGGGTCCCAAGAACTTTTTGTCGAAGCTGGCCTTGAAGTGTGATCCTCCAGTCTCTGCCTCCCAAGTAGCTATGATTACAGGCTTGAGCTACCAGTGCCCAGATAACTATTTTTTTTAATGAAATGGAGAATAGGATAGAATGGAGTTAAAATATGAGACTGAAGACTGTTGATTCAAAGGCTTTGTTTCAGGAGCATGCGGGTGTGATGAATCATGTTGTAAAATGCATTTCTTAATGCTTCATAGTCAGAAAGGTGTGGAGGCCACCACCCTAGACATTCCTCTTTCCACATTCCCCTCAGCTAGTGAGTTCCAGCCACTGAGCCTTCCACAGAAAATTGAAAAAGAAGAAGAAGGCACCTAGAAGACCACTGGGGAAAGGCAGACATGGACCCCTGCACTTAGTAGTTGGCATGGTGGGGAGAAAGTGAGACCAACTTTGGTTATGGGTTTTGCCGAGCGACAGATGGGGCCAGAGACCTGGGATTATCTACACACAGGAGGAAAATGACACTTTGTTGAGCAGACGAGCTTTCTGGGGTGGTAGTACTTATTCGGAAGAGCAGAGAACCTTTGGCATTGGGATGGAGTGGGGACTTAGGAACAAGTAAGAATAATTCAATCTTCAAAAGAATCAGAAAAACCTATTTGAGAAAGGGGATCAGTACACCAGAGCCCTCATAGCTCTGTCTCTGCAGGTGCCTCCTCGTCGTCATTCAACCTAAACTTAGTCCTTGTTCCCCATGCTGCTCACTCTGTGCTTTTCCTGGATGAACTGATCCCATTACACTCATTTGTCACTACAGTGGAAATACTCTTAAATCCATCTCCAAAAACCTTCCTGAAATTCCACATTTGAATTTTTTAAGATCATCTTGTAGGACTTGTGCACTAAAATATCCCATTAGTATTTCAATCAGGGTACCATCAAGACAGACCTTGTTCATATGTGAGAAATGCCACCCAGAATTCTTCCTCCCAGAGGCATCACCATTGTTTTAAGCAATAGAGTTACCTTGTCCAAGTCAGCCATTGTGCTGGCTTGTCCACTAGCTGTTTAGCACCATTCCCATTCCACGCTGGCCGCAGGGAAGCCTGAGAACTACATTCGCCGGGATTTGTTGCCAGAGTGGCCCAGTTGGAGTCTACCCGTGGCAAGCACATTTGCGAGAGTTGGAAGGTGGAGGAAAGGCAAAAGTGATACTATCGCTTCCCTTGCTCTGGAAGCGGATGTGTGGACTTCATGATTCATACAGGGATTCATTCAACAATCTCTATCTCTCACCCACTCCCCTGCCTTCCAAACTCATTATCACACTTCCAGGTGCCCTGAAACATGGATAGGATTCCCTACAGAAACGTGTATTTATCCCTTTACCTCTTGCCTTTCTTATATATTCACCCTCAAGTCTTTGCCTTTTCTGGCTGCTTCACTCCTTCCCCATACCTAAGATCCTTCTTGCACGGTCTCTTGACTTCCCCTGACCTCACCCACACCGTGATTTGTATTTTTTAGTGGTTGTATACAAGTCCTTCTCTGCACAACTCAAATCACAAGCTCCTCGAAGGTACAGTCTTATGTTTTATATAACTCTGTTTATATTTTAGGGAGGGCTTTGACAAATGTTTCATGACAGGCCTTGTGTGGAGCCTCAGGCACTTACTATGACAAAGTAGCCAAAGGAAGAAAGGGGTTGTGTGAAGGGCCAAATAAAGCATGTCTGTGAACCTGGGCTACAGACTTAGTAGGGACTTTGGATGTTGAGAAGAAGTTTTGGTTTATTTATTTTCTTTTTGGTGGCACTGGGGTTTGAACTCAGGGCCTTAAGCTTGCTAGGCAGGCACTCTTAACCACTTGAGCTACTTTGCCAGCCCAAGAAGTTTTAGCTAGGAGGTAAAAGTAGGAGACAGAGGGTAGATGTCACAGATCACACTGAAAAGTTCAGCAATGATAGGCAGAAAAGAAAACCATAGGAACTTACTGGAAGGTTCATTGGCTTCTAATAAAAGATTCTCAACAAGAGAAAAGAATTTAGTGCTACTAGGGAGGGAGAGATTAGTCATTTTTGAGGAAATGAGTGTTGGAAGGCACAGCTTCCTGGTATTAAGACTTGGTGTGTAGCTGGGTACTGGCGACTCACTCCTGAAATTCTAACTACTTGGGAGGCTGAGATCAGGAGAATTGTGGTTCAAGGCCAGCCTGGGCAAAATGTTCTCGAGACCCCATCTCAACCAATAGCTGGGCTCAGTGGCATGCACCTGTCATCTCAGATACTGAAGGAAACCTAACATAGCATGATCACAGTCCATGCTGGCCTGGGCAAAAAGTAAGACCCTATCTCCAAAATAACCAGAGTAAAAAATGCTGGAGGTGTGGCTCAATTGGTAAAATGCCTTCCTGACAAGTGCAAACCTGAGTTCAAATCCCAGTACCACCCCTCCACCCAAAAAAAAAAAGAAAGAAAACTGACCCAACATGTAATGGAATGAAGTGTTGCATGGCAGGTGTTCTTTTCATGATGTTTAGATATGAGACAAGGTGGATTTTGGTATGGACTGTGCCACTCTGCAGCTCTTTGATGATAAGCAGAAGACAACGGATAAGTGGTGGAAGGAGTCAAGAGGGTTCCAGATAGGAACAAAGCTAAAGATTTGTAGGGAGACATGGTTTCTACAAAGAAACCATAAGCAGCAAGCTGGAGTGGAGGTCCATAGAGTAGACAGTGGGAAATAAGAGCACCCTGGGTAGCAGTTGCAGAAGAGAGACCTGGATGGGCCAAAGACTGCGTGTTTGACTTGGCACAATGTAAGCTCTTAAACGTGGAAAGATGAGAGAGAAGGTATGGTTTAAAGTCTGGTGGCCTTAAAGCCACTGCTTAAGTGGTAGAGCACCTGCCTAGCAAGCATGAGGCCTTGAGTTCAAACCCCAGTACTGCCAAAAAAAAAAAAAAGAAAAAGAAAAGGTATGGTTTAAGGTGGTGCAGGACAGAGCATAAGGAAAGGAAAAGTGTGCAGACACAGAGGGGCCCATGGAAAGGGCGTTCCCTCAGTGAGCACAAAACATTTGGGCCAGGCCACCTTCCTGAGCCACGTAAGTCACGATCAGAGCGTATCACTGACGTTACCCCAGTGCAGCCCTTGAATGAGAAGATAAGGGTGGCTGCAAAGGAAGGAAGATGCCAACTGGGACTCAGTGCCAGCATTTTGGGTGGGTACAGATGACACTGGAAAAAATTCTCTTCTTTCCTTCCTAGTTTTCCAGAAGCTCCCCTGGCTTGCCCAGGGATAAAATTCTCCACTTCACAGTTAACTGCATCCTTTGCGGGTAGCTCCCAGTCTGGAATGGAAATGTCACTCGAGGGTCTTTGTAAAGTGTAACTCCCTAAAAACAAGAAGCACAAAGAAATGAGCTGCCCCTGAGTTTCTGCACATGGTCCTGCAGTAATGCATCCCTCACTCCAAAGGACACTCCCTACGTCACAGTCACCTACAGCTCGTATGTCCTTCTGCCACTTTCCAGACAGCCAGGAAGGAGCAGCTTTCCCACTTCGTGCTAAGTTAGCCTTACAGTTTGGGTTCCGTAGCTGTGCAGCCCTGTAAGATGGCAGAGCCTCGTAGGTTACAGTTCAGAGTGAAGGCAACTCTGGGGAAAGGGACTGTCTTGACACCCATTTCCTCTTCCAAAGGTTCATGAAAACCCCGGATGAGATCATGAGTGGCCGGACGGACCGTCTGGAGCACCTCGAGTCCCAGGAGCTGGATGAACAAATGTACCAAGAAGACGAATGCTGAGGGTCCCACGCTGGGCAGTGACGAGGGAAGCTGCCCACTGTGACTGCAGGACAGCTGACAAGGCAGAGACCCAGAAATGGCAGACCAGGAGGGACCCAGAGCACCTTACACAAAACACCCAGGGAAGGTGGGGCTGGCATTCCGGCGGAGGACAGAGCCTCACGTGTCACATTGCCTTCTCTCTTGGACTCTGTCCATCTGTAACTCCTCACCCTCCACATAACTGTTCGTCTCCTGGTGTTTTTGTTTTTGTTTTTTTAAGAACACACAGTTTGACTTTTCATTGTTCATACAGGGGAAGACATCAGACCTTGTTTTCCTATGGAAATCTATATCAATTATATATATATATATTTTTTGCAAATCTTACGGCCAGCCCAGCTGGTCAGGAAAGAATACTGCAGGAAGGGTCAGGTTTTTTTTTTTTTCCTGCCACGTGGGTCAGGTTTGTCTTTATTGCAGTTGGGTCTTGGCTGAAAAAAGAAAAAGAAAAAAAGATGCTTTTTAAATGATCACACAGAAAGGAGGGCTGTCTTTTGCTCTCTCCTGCTCTCCTTCCTTCCCAGCTGCCCTGTCCTTCCTGTCGGGCTGCTGCACACCACACACTTCAGCCTGTCAGAGAGTCTTGGAGACAGTTAGCACTGAAATAGATCAGTGACCTGGTTGCTTTGTGGCTTGCAGCCACAATCCCACAGTCAAATCCCCTTCCTGGCACTCAGCCACCCATCTGGAGGACCCAAAAACCTCACAGGTACTGCTGTAGCCCAGAAAGATAAGTGCCATTCCAGTGGCTGTCCCTGACAAGGCAGTGAGAGCCTTGATGAGTCGGAGGCTGGCCACGTGATTCGGAGGGCCCCAGCCACTGGTGTTCACTTGCAAGTCCTACAAGAGGGAAATACAGAGCCCACACGGGCCTGGCGGGCCAGAAACTAGCGGAACTGTTTTACAATGGGGATTTAGTTTTCTGAAACAGGTTATTAGGGCTACTGAGAAAGAAAGGCTCCTCCTTGGTCCATTCCAAAGGCCATCTTGTAGTCACTTTTCATGTCCTGCTGGATTTTTTTTTTTTTTCAATTCCTAGCCTTTTTTAAAGTGTCCTGGTCCCCACTGAACACAGAACAATAGCAGCTAGTGTTCGCCCAGCCCCAGCAGACAGGAAACTCCTCCAATGCAAGACTTTTCCTTTCCTTCTTCCCTTGCTGTGTTTCAGAAAGGACCCCCCATTTGTGACACTTTTTCACCTCAAAATAAGGTCGGTAGGCCCTTGGAAAGAGGTAGTGCCATCCGTTCTTCTGATGATAGCAGGTGTTTTTAGAGACTGTTTTAGGGGTTTTTTTTTCCCCCTTTCTAGCCATCTGAATTGATTCTTCCAACAGGCTTCAGACAGTCACTATTTGGAGTGGAGTGTTTTGAAATCCAGAAGACGGGGCCTGCCTTACAAAGCACCCTTACCCGTTTCTATTTCCTCTGCTCCATTGGGTAGCCAACTCCCAGTTCTCCCAGTCACACGTGTGCTCTGGCAGCCCCTGGGCTTGTCCTCTAGCCATTTCTGAGTTGAGTCAGGCACAGAGGTTGGGGACAGAGGCAGTATTCCTCAGGCCTTCCTGACAAGGTCACCAGCCTGGGAGAGGGAATAGGAGAGGGCAAGTAGATGGACTACGGTTAAAGACACTGGAACTGAGGAGCCAATCAGGGCTTTTCGGACTTACTCTGTCCCTGCCTCTTATCAGACACAGGTAGATACATGGGGGGTGGCCAGCCTGCTCTTGGTATCACACATGCCCCACATTCTGCTTCTGGGAAGTCCACATCTTCTGAGTAAAGGGTTTGGGGCTCAGACTTCTTGAACAAGATTCTGATAGACTCCAGCATGCTGAAGATAACTTTAAAGAACGTTCAGGTAGCCGGATATGGTGGTGCACACCTGTAATCTATTTGGGAGGTGGAGGTCGGAGGATCACAAGTTCAAGACCAGCCTGGGCAAAGTTAGTGAGACCCTATCCAAAAACTAAATAAAAACAAAAGGGCTGGGGGGTATTGCTTAAGTGGCAGAGCACTTGCCTAGCAAGCATGAGGTCCTTGGTTCAATCCCCAGGGATTGAAGAAGAGAAAAAAAAGTATTCAGGAAATACAGTTTCGGCCTCTAATATGACTGGCATTGTATCTCAAATGTTGAGATTTAGCCAAATACCTCGGGAAAGCCACTGAGTTTAAGAACTGAGGAGAAACAGTGGACTTTTTACTGAGGCCTTTTGTGTGCATATGAAATAAGAAACCAGGGCACGGTGTTGCCTTGCCCTAGGATTAAGACACCTCACCCTGGCCACTTTTGCCTCAGTCTCTTACTCTTCAAAGAATCTTCCAGATGCATTATGGAAGGAAATTCCCTTTTGCCCCAAGGATTTCTGTATTTAAAGCAATATCCTGTGAGAATGTAAGCTGTCACCTTCAGCTCCTTCAAGTAGACATGCATTGCCTTTGGTTCCCATCAGAAACCACCAGTGAGGATTCTCTGTTGCTACCCTTAGTTGCACCTCTTGTTCTGTGAGAGAAGACCTGGACCATGCCGGCACTGGGGTACAGTGTTCACACACTGCAGACCTTAAAGACTTCAGATCCACAAAGCTAGCAGGAAGCACCTACCAGACTGTGAGGGATTCCAATTCTCTGAGAGCTTCTGTTCTATCTGCAGGGTCCCTCTAGCACAAAGCTTCTTGGTTCTGTACGTGAATCTTCTAAGTACAAAAAGGCCCAAATGGAAAGTTCGTGCACCTTGTGAACAATGACCCTTTCTCTGTTGCCTCCATGGGAATTCTTGGCTCATAAACTCTGCAGTCAGGAAAGGGGATTGCAGAAGAGCTGTGTGCTGGGAATTCTCTTGCCTCTCTCTTGGCTTAGGCTGTGTCCTGTCCATCAGAAGGAAGTGGGGGTAGTTGGTAGTTGTGTGCTGAAGGTAACACCGTCTCAGATCTTGATCCAAGACCACTGGGTCTTGCCTAATACAGCAGCATTCCTAAGGTTCCAAATACTTTTGGGGTCCCCTCCCCATATACACACACCAGGAAAAGAGGAGCAACAGGCTGTTTTCTCCTTTTAGTTTAGAAGTCTCTGATCCAATGCTTTCTACACTGGTACCTTGTCCCAACGAGAATGTCGCTTTGGCTGAAATTTAGATTGACTGTCACAGAATTTATCAGAATGACCAAATGACCACCATGCCTAGGCTCCAACCCTGAATGTGTTTTTGAAACATTAACTGCCTTTTGCAGAAGGGAAACCTGGCTATCAGAGAGGTGATGTCACTTGCCCTAGTTGCAGATAACATGGTAGAGGCAGAGGTAGGATGGGGACACAGCCTAGCCAGGCCCCCATTTGACCCATTCCCAGCCTGGCAAGGGAAGATATAAGAAAATTTGGGAAAATAGACAAAGAGCACAGGACAGTTGGCTTTGCCCAGGCATTCGGAGCTAGGAGACGTGCTGTTCTTTCACTCGGCTGGCTCTGCGTGAGCAGAAACCTCGGGTAAAGGGAGTAATGGAGGAAGCTGGAGGGAGGACACCCAGGAAGCTCTGCCTGTCTAGAAACCCCAGGAGGCCAACCTGGTCATCTTGTGGGCCCATCTGAACCAACACTAACCTACTGCAAACTCCCTGAATGGCACATGTGCCAAGTGAACGTTTTTGGAGGTTTCTCTTTGTGACTACACCCACTGCAATCCAGAACGAATCTGGAATGAATTTTTTTTTTTTTTGGTTTAGTTTCTAATCTCTTGTTTATGAGGTGTGGGGTTTATAAGGGACTGAATCAAATGAATGTAACAAAAAAGGAAAAAAAACAAAAACAAAAAAAAATGCCTTTTCTCAGGGCCAGTGAGTTGCAAATAATTTTTAAAGAAAAGCCTATAATTACATCATCTCAATAAATTTTTTATAAAAAAAACAAACCTGAAGTTCCCAAGTCTCTGTTTTTAATGATATGGAGTCAGACACGCAAGATGCTTGGGTGAGATCAATCCTATCTCAATTATGGCAGGAAGCCTCTAAAATGGAACTGTCTGTGGTCTGTCAACAAGAGGCACGTTGGAGCAGGTGGCACAGATGGGGAAATTTCCACAAGGACCCCCAGTCAGAGCTGTTCAGATCCTATGCTGGCCTGAAGGTGCAGGAGCTCACTGAGGACTAAGATGGTGGTAGGAGTGAAGACCGTCAGGTTCCCACGCAGGGGAGTTACTCCCTTGTAGGGTCTGAGTCTACAGGAATCTTCCCTGCCTAAGGCACACGGTCATGGGGAAAACCCCATGACCAAACTCAGGACTCCAAAGGCCTGGAAGGCCACCACACACAGAACCAGCCCACAGGCTCAGTGTCTCAGCCACACTGGCCAATGGAGCCACTGCCAGCCCAGGGGCATTTGGGATTTCAAGATCATGCCTCATAGTGTTGCCTAGAACTAATTGCTGTCAGATAGGGGAGACAAAAAGAATGGAAAGGAGAGCAAGTTTCAGATTCAGACTTGGAACAGGAGTTTAAAATTGGCGGTCTCAGGAAATGTCAGTAGACTTTCTGTATTGAAGGTATCCCAGGTACTTTGAATTCCTCAAATATGGCCTTCGATTCAGAGCTCCACAGCAAGCGTTTCTGTGGTGCTGAATGCATTAGAAGCTACTTCCAATGATCCACCATTAGGATTCCCTGGGAGTTACTAGACACTCACATCATCAGTGCATGCACCATTAACTGGATCCCACACTTTGGAAGCAGGGCCTAGCAATTTGATGTTCGTTTGTTTGTGGTGCTGGGACTTGAACTCAGGGCCCTCACCTTGAGCCACTACACCAGCCTTTTTTTGTGATGGATTTTTTTGAGATAGGGTCTCATCTCAAAAAATATTTGCCCAAGCTGACCTCGAACCACGATCCTCCTGATCTCTGCCTCCTGAGTAGCTAGGATTACAGGCATGAGCACCGGTGCCTGGCTAGCGATTTGTTTTAACAGAATCTCTGGGTGATATCTTGTTTAATAGCCTCGGATAGAACTGGGGGTATGGCTCAAGTGGTAAAGTGCCTGCCTAGCAATCATTAGGCCCTGAGTTCAAATCCCGGTAGTGTCAAAAAAAAGGGCCCCTGCTATCATCAATCTGTTCATCTTAGTACAAAAAAAGAGCACGTAGCATTTTAAACAAGAAGTACTTGGAATAATGGCGGTAACTAATTAATATTAATCGTGCTCATAATTATGTTGCATTTTGCAAAAAGTAGATAAACTGTGGAATGAGGCACACCAGAGCCATCCCCTTGTCTCCTCCAAAGCTTTTAAGCAGCTTGCTAGCAAGACAGGCTGTTTCAGAGGGCACACTGGATCGCTGACCTGCCCTTGCAAATTACAGCACAGCCAGTTATCCACTTAGACCCACTTATCTGCCTAACCAGCCTGAGCTAAAAGGAAAAATAAAAGGACTGCTCTCTTCTGCCCACTGACCTTGGCTGGCTATCCCTGGGAATATTACCCAGGGATGACCATCGCCAGGGAACAGGTAGAGGAGCCAAACCAGGGCTTCTCACTCCTGATAGCGCCTACACACCACCTGGGGACCTCAGGAGAAGTAGATTTGCTTCCATCCTAGCATCTTGGGAAGTATGGGTGGGCCTGCTCTTCTGCCCACTCTCTGGACTCCAGGAGAGGCTGACACTGGTGGTCCTTGGACCACACTTCGAGCAGCATCAGCCCCAGGGTTTCCCGTCAAGTCTCAGAAAACTCAGCGGTCCCTTTCTTTGCTGTATTCACTTGTCACTTCCTTCCTAGTCTGTCCCTGGGGCAGGTTCTGCTCTGCAAGAGGCTTGCTTGTTCTCTTTTAGGGAGCAACAGGAGTTGGTGCTCAAAAGCCTCTTTGCCAACTGAAGAAACAGCCATTCACTTATGGGACCTTCTGCAGGTGTCATAACCAGATGCCTCATGGTCACCATCTGGGTAAGGAGTGCAAATTCCGGGCATCGCTGCCTCTCTTAGCCTCCAGAAAGATCAGTCCCAATCACTGAAAGCAAACAGAAAGCTAACAGTGTGGCCAGGTGTGGTGGTACATGTCTATAATCCCAGCTACTGGGGAGGTAGAGATCAGGAGGATCATGATACAAGACTGGATCCAGGCAAAAACAAGAGACACGATGCTAAAAATAACTTTAAAAAGCAAAAAGGGGGTGGGGATGTGGCTCAAGTGGTAGAGTACTTGCCTAGAAGGTGCACAGTCCTGAGTTCAAACCCCAGTACAACCAAAAAAAAAAGAGGAAGAAAAGAAACCTAACAATGCCATTCTCTATGTTCCAAAAAGCTAGAGGAAAATAATCAGAACTTCCATTCAAACTACCCAAGATGTCGACATTTCAAACAATCTTGGGTCTAGGTCCCCACTGTCAGTACTTTCAGATTCACTTCTTCCTTGTTTTTTTATAATTAAGGCCCTTGGCCCCCAACACATTGAAGAGAAATCTGTGGTAGTAAAACCCACTAAGGAAAATTCTGAATTTCTTCCCAGACCGTAGAAGACTGTTCCCTCATTCCAAGTCTCAACAATGCCCTGAGGCTGCACCAGGATTCCATTCAGGACATCAGCCGAGTTGACCTTGGCTTTCTCTGACACCTCCCAAAGAGCTAAGCACCCTCATTTTTGTCCCAAAATAATTGCTTCTGTAAAAGCAAGTACAGGCCCTCTGCATGTACCTTTCTGCGGGCACAGAGGGCATTTTGCATATTTTTTTTAAAGAAACCAAACAGTACCTGTCATGTATATTTGAGTAAGTGCTTTGAATGAGGGAGTTGAGGCTAGAGAAACTCAGTGACCTTTCGTTAAGCAAAGATTTCTTAGATAAGACACAATCCACAACAGAAATAAATTGATAATTGAACTTCACAATCCACAACAGAAATAAATTGATAATTGAACTTCATCAAGATTAAAACTTTCTCAACAAGAGACACCATTACAAAATGAAAAGAGAA